TGACTTTCCCTGTTTGTACAGGTTTTGAAGCAATAACACAACGGAAACCTTCTTATGATGGATGCCGCGCGTAAATAAATTTGAGCAGCGCACGTCTTTGCATATGTCGCTAGCCAAGTCATCGATTATTAAAAGTGTTTGTTGATTAGTGTCGAAAAATTAGGAGACTCCAGAACTGTTTCAATGCCCTTAATGAATTCAACAGACGCTTGTAGATCATCAAAACATTTTGCCATTCACCATAGCAGTAAACTATTCGATGCGGAGGTGGACTAATCAACAGCTCTCGGTCTTTAATTAAAGATAACACGAACTGCGTTTTGCCCGACATGGTTGGCCCACATACACACATACCAAACGGCGCTTGAAGCGCGGAAGTTCTTTAACACAATACATGGTGGTGGAAAACTTATGTCAAAAGCTACAAACCCGCTTTAATACAAACAGCACAAGCTTTTACACTCAGGCTTTAGAGTACGGTGAACTTCTTCGGGATCGTCGCCTTTTTCCAGCTGCTTACTATCAGTCCGCAGTAAACACACCCAGCCGTGTCCCTCCGTTCCATTGAAATCCTGCTGCAGCCAGTCGCACTGGGTGGACAATATGGATTTCCACTCTGTTGGATATGAAGACAAGCGCTCTTCCGGTGTCTTCATAACTTTAGGGGTCGTAAAGCGTCGTCGTCGCAACAGAAACATATATTACCATTGCTGGGTCCTTCCCGGTCCCACAGATCCCGAACGCGGTAGCTTGATGCGTAAGCGCTTTCCTGAGCTGGCGGATCTGGTCGATAGCATCCAAACCGATTCGACTCACAATGACTGGACACCGAGGGCGGTAGCGAGCATGGTGCACATCTACGTTTTCGTACGGCAGTAAATCCTCAATCCAAGTCCGCACTGATAGCAGTGTATAAGGTTCGACCACGTATAGGAGAATCCAGATGCAGCCATCTCTTCTTTCGTTTGAGTGGTGAACTGCCATTGCTTGACATGGTTGAAGCTGTTAAGGCGGGCTAGATAATGCGCCATCCGTTTGTTGTACGGAGCCATTTAATCTACGAAACACACGAAAACATCAATTTTGTTAGAGCTTATGTCTTATGGGCAGGCGATACGTGTACTGTTAAAAAAAAAAACAACGAATTTACCTCAGTAATCCTGCCAGTACTTATTTACGTCTCGAAATTTCTGCGCAAAAGCCGGTCGCAGTGCTTGCAAGTAGCGACAGTCAGGGTTATACGTAGCGTGAGCCGCCCAAAAGTCGGTATCACTATCACAGTGTGTCAGTTGATGACCACAACAAAAACACTCAGCGAGAAAGTAACCTTCCGAAGGAACAAAAATGTATCCACATTCGGCTAAACGACGTGGAGTTCGAATACGTAAAGTAAACTTTTCAGCAGGAACGTTTGTACGCGACTTTCCACGGAACTATAAGCAGATGTGCCAAATGATTCCATTGCAAAAGTATCAAGAAACAATACTGCAAATTTTAGCGCTGAGCACTCAGGCTTTAAGTCAGCTTTCAGTTGCATTTTGCTTTTTTCTGTTTTTGCAATCATTTAAGGCCACGCCTGTAATCACGACAGTTACAGATTTTTGCAAATGCAGTGAAAGTCGAAATGTCTAATCTCCAAGTTATGCTACCCGACCTTAACCGTCGCGAGCGGCGATGGGAAAAGGTCACGGTGGCAGTTTTTATTTTCTGTTATTCGCACTATTTACGTTCTTTGTTCTACTAGACGCGTTTGAAAGGTCCTGCAAACCGATCACTGGAACAGTACTGTTCGGAATCTCACGTCGTGACGAGCTAGCAAAGGTTAGTTGACAAAGCGCTTTGTATGTAAGGTTGAGTGGTGGCTACTGATCGACTCGCTGTTCTTTAGAAAAATATGCCCGTGGATCAACCGCCAACAGCACAGTCTCATACCATGAGAATAAATGTATAACCTTCTTACGAAGACGTTTCCAATGTGCCTGTTCTAGTAGCCGAGATATACTGCATGCATAGAATGTTCATTGTTACCGGGTGTCCCCGGGGTGAAATAAAAAAAAGGAAAACTTGCAATTGCGCCGAATTACGATTGAACAACTAAAACTTAAGTTCATCAAAAACTGATTCGTCACTTCTGTTTCAAATCAGACAGCTGTGTCATACAATGCTAACAAATCCAAATGATCATACAAGCACGAGTAGAAACATCCCGTCGGCAGCTCTTGTAAAGACGTTTCTCCACGTTTCGCTTCAGGTCTCTGCCCAGAAGTCCGGCTTAAAACGCTGAATTTCGTCGTTGATGTTGTCGAGATAGATGCTCCAAATGCGTTTGGCAGCTCTTCAAAAACACATTTGACTGACTTGCAATTGCGCCGAATTACGATTGAACAACTAAAACTTAAGTTCATCAAAAAACTGATTCGTCACTTTCTGTTTCAAATCAGACAGCTGTCGCAAGTCATACAATGCTAACAAATCCAAATGATCATACAAGCACGTAGAAACATCCCGTCGGCAGCTCTTGTAAAGACGTTTCTCCACGTTTCGCTTCAGGTCTCTGCCCATGAAGTCCGGCTTAAAACGCTGAATTTCGTCGTTGATGTTGTCGAGATAGATGCTCCAAAATGCGTTTGGCAGCTCTTCAAAACACATACATTTGACTGACCGGAATTTGCTGTTTCATTCCATGTACTTTTACCTGCATATCCACGGTCTTTTCGCGGCACAAACTCATTCAGCAGCTGTAGTTGCTGTACCTCGTCGGCATCCCGGAAATCTCTGAAGACTCGGTATCGCGCACTTCGATACAATATCTTCCTTCCTAAAGCCTCGAATCTGAAGTGCGCTTCACCGCGACCCATGCTGACAAACGTTCCCCGTAGACGAGGGCCAAAATCGTGCAGAGGGCATTCAATCATGGCGTGGCGTCGCTTCACTTTGATGTTGGCTGGTCGCTTCCAGTCCAAATGGCTTTTATACGAAAGCATATACTGGAGGAATGCTACGAATTCAGCTTTTCCTGTAGTAAGTACTCCCATGGGAGACATTAACTGAACGGTGTAGACCTCGCCGCGGTTGTCCCTCGTGAGTGCAAGCGATGCGTTTCCAAAGTTCATCCGTTCTACGGGTTCGCTTTCTGCACATAACAATCCAAAAATTAATACAGTCATTCTGGATTAACGCTTTACTTAAAACAAGAACTAAAATATACACCCGTGGGTGTGAACGTGGGTGTTGGTTATTACGACTGCAAATACAACTTACGAAGTTTTCGTACTTCTGATAGAGTTATGCAATTTTAGCGACGAAACTAATCAAATTCTGACAACCTGAGCAGTGTAATACAGTATATCCACACAAAAACATTAAGTACCTCGCAGAAACTGATCCCTTGGTGACGGTTCTGCTGATTGCGGTAACGGCGACGATAAAATTTTCCATAGGTCCACCCATTCGTTCACCGTTTGCCCCTGAATAACTTCGTTGCCACTGTCCGGAGGCGATTCCAAACCGCTGAATCCACTTTGCAAGACTTCTACGGTAATCGGCTGTAAGGGAGAACCAACACCGCCGTTGAAAATGTTCCCAGCTCCGCCCGTGAGAACTCCATCCACAAAAGTTGGCTGACCGATAAGCGTAGCAATAGGGGCAAGCTGGTTGGTCCGGCAGAATCAACGTCAGTCCAAGCACTAACCTCAGCTACAAAATTGGCGTGGTTCTCTGAAAGCTGCTCTGCGTACCCGGTTCCACCGTTTGCATACCGCATTGCTCAAAAGAAACACGGGCGTCGACCTCCGTAACCAATGGGTCTCCGGTCTCCATCTGCTCTGTAGGGTCACCATTCGGCATGCCCATCTCAGCTAGAACCACAGCCATATCAGCGATCCATTGCGCGTCGGCGTCCACTGGCCCGCTATTTGTAGATAATGCGGGCGGATTATCAAGATTAAAATCGGCATCATAGTCATCAAAATCTAACCAGCTGAAGTCCATTATAAACCATAGGAAAACAATTATTGGCCAGAAATGTGGAAGAAGAGAACTTTGACTCAGTGAGAATGGAGACTGTAGAAGAACTGGCTAAAATTGCAAGGCAAAACCAGCTGGACTTGGCTTTCCCACGATTCGCTATACTGAGAACGAAGAATCGGAAGCCCTGCCTCCCATTCTTCTCTTCGAGTTCAATTACGTCACCAGCGTACCGTGTGCAAGATTCGAATTTAAATTGCCGGTGAATGGCAGTTCGAGTCCGCTGCAGTTCTACGCTGCATCTGAATCTGATAATGCCACGGGTAGCCGTCGAATCTCGAAAATTTTAGGATTCTTATAACTTACCTGCTGTTTTAATCCAAGTTGTAATTACTGCGGTAAATTTTAATACAGTGTTACTGTACTTTGATATAACGCAGCTTATTTAGCGTTTACGTACAAGCAAAATACCAACAACTGCAAACTCAAGAATCGTATTAGCAAATAAAAAAAAAAAACGTAATAACACAGTAAAATCAATAATACCATAATAACAGTAATCATCTTTACCAGTAAAACCAAGTGCAGTAACAGCGTGTATTCTGAACACCTACGGTTCCTTGAAAGTATACAAAAAATATACGCAACGAACTACAAAAAACAAACAAAACATTAGGCTGCCCCGCCAGTTCCATCCTCATCCTCCGACAGCAATGGGTTTTCGGGAACCGCTTCCCCACCAGCCATCAGAGCGTCCCAACCTGCCCCGGTCTCCACCAGGTTTTCGTCCTCCTCCGTCCAGCTGTCCAGCGCGGCGTGCCCTGCAGCCGCTGCCGGCTGTTGCGGCACTTCTTCTGCGTCGCCACCGGCCAGGACCTCCAGTGCAGGCTGCTGCCCATCGGCCTGCGCGTGTTGCTGGACCACATGAGCGTCTAGTTCGTGCTCTGGGTACAGGTAAGTAGTGCGCCCAACCCACGCCGGAGGCCAGTTTTCCTCGCCCGATTCTCCCGTCTCGTCCCCGTTCTCGTTCAGCATCACCCATTGCACCTTGCGGGTGGGGAAGCGCCGCAGGTATTCGTGACGGAGACTGGATCATCCGACGTGGCCCAAGCCCAGCACGACCGCTGACCTCCGTGTCCTGGAATCCCGCCCACGTGACGCGCGACGGTCTCCTTACGACCAGTACTGCCGGCAAGAAAGCCGCAAAATGGACAACGGAACCTTTTGCCGCCGCGCAGCTGGATGTCTTCACGCAGCTTCTCCAGGCGTTCACGAGCCTGCAATTAAACATAAAATAAACTGACGTTTGTGTTGCCGTGGGTGTACCGTGGGTGTTGCCGTGGGTGTATGAAAGTGACCTACCTCTACATATCCACTTTGCCCGTCACGGGCATCCACGAAATCTTCCAGCTCTCCTTCTTCTTCGGAAAGCTCGGCGTCAGACGGTACATCAATATGGCGAAATTCGAGTACGGTCGACTTCCAGTGGGCGACCGGATGGGTCTTCCTGCCGACCTTCAACTTCGTGATGCGGTTGCACAGATGCATCCCGTCCGGAGCGGCAGCTGAGCGCTGTTTCTTCTGCGCAGGCCCAAGCTGTTGCTTGCGGACAGAACCGTTCGGCCCACTGCTGGTGCTGGGCTCTTGGTCGAAACGTGCCGGGCTCAAGGTTCGCTTAGCGGGTTGCCTGGTCAACGGACCGGATGTCCGCGGAGCTCGGGTCGGCTGGGCCCGGGTCGGCGGAGGCCTGGACGGTGGAGGCCGGGTAGTTGGGGTCAGGGTCGGCAGGCCGGTGAACGGAGGGCCGGTGGCCGGAAGACCGGCTGCCGGAGTACCGGTGGCCGGAGCGCCGTTGGCCGGAGGGCCGTTGGCCGGAGGACCGGTGGCCGGAGAACTGGTGGCCGGAAAGCCGGTGGCCGGAAAACCATGGCCGGAAAACCGGTGGCCGGAAAGCCGGTGGCCGGAAAGCCGGTGGCCGAAACCGGTGGCCGGAAAACCAGGCCAGGCCGTTGGCCGGAGGACCGGTGGCCGGAAGACTGGTGGCCAGAAAGCCGGTGGCCGGAAAACCGGTGGCCGAAGGGCCGTTGGCCGGAGGACCGGTGGCCGGAAGACTGGTGGCCGGAGAATTGGTGGCCGGAGGGCCGGTGGCCGGAAAACCGGTGGCCGGAAAACCGGTGGCCGGAGGACCGGTGGCCGGAAGACTGGTGGCCGGAGACCAGGCCGGCGGAGCCAAGGTCCACAGGCCGGTGGAAGTCGACTTGACTTTCTACCAGCGGACGCCTTGCCGATGCTGGCTTCTTTGCAGCGGCTTTTCTTGGAAGCGGCCTCCGCTTTTTTGGCAGCGGAAGCAGCCTTTTTGCTTCGGAGTCTTGCTTAGCTCCGGCCGCCTTCTTCTTCGCGTTGCCCTGAACACGGAGCTTTGTTTACCGCCGCCCTTCTTGGCAGCTGGCGTCGCGGATGGCTCAGCAGTATTCGGCACAGAGGATGTCGGTGCCGCTTTCCCAGTCGAGGGCACCTTTGCAGCTGTGGCTTTTCTTCTTCGTCGCTGGTTTGTAGCCTTCTTACGGGAAGAAGAGCGTGGGGAGCAGCCTTCGGACGAGAGCGGCACCGCCGCTTTTTTCTTCGCCGGAGCCGTATTGCCCTGAGAACTTTAAAATTAAAAGATCTTGTTAATTACAATAATAATAACTGTTTAACATCATCAATAACAATATATATATATAAATATATGTTAGTAACTATAACTATAAAAATATAATATTTAAGTACTGCAGTACGCACGCATCAGTTTTGCCGGCGGAGTCTGCATTCGGAAGGGCGCGTGAGCGGCGCGCATCAATACGGAGGCGAGGGGCTGCTATCTGCGGACTCATCCGCTCCAGTTCCGTCGCCTTTCTGGCTCTGGATCCTTGGTCCGTGTCTGCCACAGCACCGCGGGCTGTATTCGGGCGAGTTGGAGACAGTGCTGCGCTGCCATCAGCAACAGAAACGGTGCCCTGGGGCAGTTGCCCCTGAGGCTGCCCTTGCTGGGGCGCGCTCATTTGCGGCCGCTCGGCGTTGTTTTCTGAAATTTTAAAGAAACAAAAGTTTCCGACGGCCGATATGCACAATCCAACACGTTGTGCACCGTGCAGCTGACTGCGTTTTGGGTGACAATAATGAATTTATTACGCAAAGGGCAGACCGCTGCATGGTACACAACGTTGAATTACGCAAAACATAATCGGCCAGTATACCCAACACGTACCGCTTTCCATTCTCAGCGGGCGTTGCTGGTGTGTTGCAGCGAAATTCCCTTCAAAGAGGAAGAGGAGAGCGTCGGTGGGGAGGAGAAATGGGACGGAGAACTCCGAGGCCTCCGTGAAAAATTGGGAAGGTCGCTATCGCCGGTACGGCTAAAAACGACAAATCAGTCACGTGCGGCCTAAAAAAGGTTACCGAAACAGTGGCGGGAATGAAAGGGTCGTCGCACTATAATTAGACGACAACCAGACGTCGTCACTGATTTCTGGCGATGGCAGAAAGGAAGATTTGATAATAAAAAAAATCCAGAATGATTTTTTTTTAAAACTTAAATTCAACAGGTGCACAAATATACATATGCAGCACCACTTAATTAGGTAGCTACAGTTAACGTAACTGCCTCCTCGGCTAATACTTGGGAGGTTGGTAGAGACAGCCGCCACTTGTATTGCGGCTGCCCCACCTGTATTGGGCAAACTCTATGAGGGACCCGACTCCTGCTGCT